CCCCTTAACCAATCAGAACACACCTCCACCCAATCAGAACACAGCCAAGCTCCCACCCAATCAGTTCAAACCCCACTGGCAGTTAAAAGGAAGAAACAGCTGCGATCACACATTACTCCTAGAAGCACGAAGCTGAAGACACCAGCCTGAAGATGACGAATGTGACTTCATCGAAACATCGCCAAGACACTTCCAATTTATTCGGGAGAAAACCCAAATAACCAAAGACCTACATACAAACACCCGCGAAAACCTCAGAAAACATACACACACACACACACACACACACAAATATTACAGTGCACCCACCCCCCTGGAGACCATTTTTATTACCTATATTTCTTCTCATATAACAACTTACAATATACAATGTATTTCAATTGTGCCCTTATCCCCTCCAAAACAGCTTATATTCCTGAATAGGTTTATTCCCTTTGCCTTCCACCAACACTGGTTTTATAAAATCCTCCCATATTTCATTATAATTATTTACTTTAATCACCCATTTTTAAAATTTAATTTCTGTTGTTAATTTATTTATTGCCATATTCCATATTTCATTATACCACTCATTTCTTTGAATAGCCCAATTTTGTCTCCAATATTTAGCCATCACTAATCTAGCTGCCATTATCAAATTTACAATCAATTCCTTTTTTGCTTCATTTATATCTTGTTTTTCCACCAGTAACAGTAATGCAATCGTCGGTGACATATCTAAATTTACATTCAAAAGTTACTGCATCCAGTTTTGGTCACCAAGATGTAAAAAAGATGCTGAGACTCTAGAAAGAGTACAGAGAAGAGCAACAAAGATGATTAGGGGACTGGAGGCTAAAACATATGAGGAACGGTTGGTGGAATTGGGTATGTCTAGTTTAATGAAGAGAAGGACGAGGGGGGACATGATAGCAGTGTTCCAATATCTCAGGGGCTGCCACAAAGAAGAGGGAGTCAAGCTATTCTCCAAAGCGCCTGAGGGCAGGACAAGAAGCAATGGATGGAAACTAATCAAGGAGAGAAGCAACCTAGAACTAAGGAGAAACTTCATGACAGTTAGAGCAATTAACCAATGGAACAACCTGCCTCCAGAAGCAGTGAATGCTCCAACACTGGAAGTTTTTAAGAAAAGACTGGACAGCCATTTGTCCAAAATGGTGTAGGGTTTCCTGCCTGAGCAGGGGGTTGGACTCGATGACCTCCAAGGTCCCTTCCAACTTTATTATTATTATTATTATTATTATTATTATTATTATTATTATTATTATTATTATTATTATTATTATTATTATTATTATTATTGTTGTTGTTGTTGTTGTTGTTGTTGTTGTTGTTATTATTATTATTATTACTATTATTATTATTACTATTATTATTATTATTAATTTCCCTAAACACCATGTCCCATATCTTTTGTGCGCTATCACAATCCCATTTTGTTTGTGACCATTCGGCTTGTTGGAATGAAATCTCTAATGCCAGATAATCTGGAGGCCACAACCTATGCAGCCATCCATAGAGGGATTACAATGTCCTTCAGCCTCAGCCAATCTAGAAGGAAATCTTTTGCAGTGGGAAACATCGGGAGACCCATACTGGTGTTGTGGTTTTGATTACTTCCTGCTCACCTTTTGCTGTTCATGCCATTTTCTCGGAAGCCCTTTGCAAAAGGATTGCTTTCTATCTTCATCTGAGTGATCTGAATGGACGGCGAGGAGTAAAAGAAATAACAAATGTATACATTAGAATTAAAGGAATAGAAGTCATTATATATATTGATAGTAATAAATACATTCTGCCTTGGTGTTTTTTTTCACCCAGTTTTGGGTTATTTCTGAAATAAGCGTAAACGTATATTAATGTTACTCTCAATCTGTTTGGGTGGTAGGATTTTAAGTTTTGTTTCTGTGTGCAAAATTCATATGTGCATGTGTTCCTGGAGGCCAGGAATAGCACAATGCAAGAGAAGATGGCAAAAATGTGATTTGGGAGATATCCTAGCTAAGCTGAAAATGAGAGGGACAAGAGAGAATAATGTATGTTTAGAATAGCACCTGTACAAACTATAAAGTTGACAATGGGTTTTGCCCACAGTAGATTTAAGTACCAATTAGTGGTCTGGGGGAGATTTCTTAGAAAGAGATCTAGAGCCACTTTGATGTAGTACTTAAGGAGCTGGCCTAGAAACCAGGAAACTGTGAGTTCTAGTCCAGCATTAGGCATGTAAACTGGCTGGGTGAGTTTGGGCCAATTACCTGGAGACACTGAGTTCTAGTGTTGCCTTAGGCATGAAAGCCAGCCTGGTGACTTTGGGCCAGTCACTCTCTCTCAGCCCAACCTACCTCACAGGTCGCTGTTATGGGGAAAATAAGAGGAGGAAGGTGTGTTGGATAAGTTCGCCAGCTTCAGTTATTTATAAAAACCATATAGGCAGGGTACAAATAAATAAGATAAAAGTCTAATTTTTATGGCTCTGGGTAGCTGCAGCCAACAAAGCAAATGAATTCTTCAGTTATGTATATTCAGTTATATTTCTGAAGTGGGTTTGCATATTAAGGGGAGATGATTACTTCTGCCCTTCCCAGCAACCAATTTTCAGCAACACTTGCAGATTTGTTTTTCTATTAAAATCTTTCTACAATAGATTATAGTTCCCATGGTCCCAAGCCAGAATGGCCATTGTCTGAGAACTGCTGGAGTTATAGTTCAACACACGGTTTCCCAATTGGCAACCTTAAGATGTGTGGACTTCAACTCCCAGAATTCCTCAGCCAGCCTGGGAAACACTGGCTCAATATCTGTGGGTGACACCAGTGGAGAAATTTCTATTAGATTCCATTAGAAGTATTATTAAGACAATGTTCCCAGTTCAGTTAGCCCTCCCAGACCAACTAAAATGAACAAAATAAGACTTATAAAGTCTTCATAACATGGAAGACTATGATGGTGTAATGCAGTGTTTCTTAACTCAGCAACTTGAAGACGAACTTCAACTCCCAGAATTCCCTATCCAACCATGCTAGGGAAGTTGAAGTCCATACATCTTAAAGTTGGTGACAGTGAGAAACACTGGTGAAAAGTATTGAAATGACAGACTGTGAAAAGCTATGAGGGAGGAGATTAAACTTTGCTGGAGACATGTTTATGCTGAAAAATACATTGTTGCGAATAATAGAAGGAGTCAAAGTGTTGTCAACTGAAATTGTTAGATAGAAAAACAAATGTTGAGGGCAAGAAAAGGGCACATTTAAGACTATAAGACTGCCAGGTAAGGGTTAGTTCTGAAAAGATTTGGCTTGGATGAGGATGTCAAAGGATAAAAGAATAGGAAAATATGAAGAAAGAGAGTATTAAGGAACCCTAGAAAGTCAATGTATAGGAAATATAAATAACAAAGGCTACAGGACTGTGAGGATGACGGGTGGAGGGACATCTCTAAACATGAGGAAACAGGTGAAGTTAAATGAAGAACGGGCAATGGTGGGATAAGGGGGAAAAAAACATACAGTGGGGCAAAATGGATTTTTGAAAAGAAACAAGATTTCTCCCAATTACTATATCTTCTGAAAGTCCATTGGTATACAGTATTTGCCTAGGCATTTTTCTGACAGAAAACATTCCTAGAGATTCTAGACAGCTAACTCTAAAACATAGAATAATAGGGTTGGAAGGTACTTTGGAGGTCTTCTAGTCCACCCCCTGTGTGATATTAATACATTTTATTAAAGAGGGTAAGGTTTTTTTAGCTACCATAGACTAACAAGGTGCTCTCTCTCTCTCTCTCTCTCTCTCTCTCTCTCTCTCTCTCTCTCTCTCTCTCTCTCTCGTCTGTCTATCTATCAAAAGAAGGAGACAATGAGGGACAAGCAGTTTGGGGATATTATGGATTCTACAAATAAGAATGAGTCTACAGCAGGGGTCTTCAAACTTGGCCCTTTTATGACTTGTGGACTTCAACTCCCAGAATTCCTCAGCCTGGCACGCTGGCTGAGGAATTCTGGGAGTTGAAGTCCACAAGTCATAACAGGGCCAAGTTTGAAGGCCCCTGGTCTACAGTATAAAAAAAACCACTTTTTAAAAACCCTGCTCTTGCTCTCTCACCTGTGGGTTCTGGTAAGCTGTGACAGTCAGAAACTGCGTCTCAGGAAAGGTGAAGGAAGCACAGCCACCCCCTGCTCCGCGGCGCCCTCCAGCTCCCACCACATGTACTCGGGGCTGGTAACGATGCATGGAATGAACGATCAACTAAGAAGAGAAGAATCAACAATGAGCTTTATTTTACCAGACCATCTTATGTTCTTCCATTTTCCAACTCCATTTTAGTTCTCTGCAAAACTGAACTGTCTATGCCTGTTGTCATTCTGGGCAAAGCACAAAATGTGATTCTAATTGCATGATTCATTAACCTTAAATATGACTTCATTTTGTAATTAAAAGGAAGAATAAGAATCTAGGCATGACAACCTGCCAAAAAAAAAAAGCCCAATTCATTTTTGTAGAGGGATCTCAGTGAGCTACGTTGTTTTATGCCTTACATCCATGAACATTTTTTTTATAATAATCCAACACATATCAACACAACCTAAGTTTAAATACTGCATGGTTGCTATAGAATTATTTACTTTGAATTTCAAAATGTAGTGCTCCTTTGGGAAAGATTTTGCTTCGTTTTTGTCATTGGATTCACAAAATCCTGGAGCTTAACTATAACTCCTCATAGTTAGTAGCCTAAAAGATCCTCCCACATGTGTCCCCTCTTCTAAATCATTTTATTTGGGCTATAAGTGTACTCTATCAATTATCGTCTCCTGGATGTATATCCCCTCTTCCCCATTTGTCTTTCCTCCAATCTCAGGCCCCAGTCATACATGTCCATGAGGATCCAGGGTATTGTTGGTGAGCTTGAGCTGATGGAAGGATATAGGTTGGCGCATCCAGTGGGCACCTGATGCAGGTGAGTCAGGATGGATGTAAACCCTGTCTGGAGGTGGTAATTCTGCCTTGCCACTGGCTTCCCACTTTTTGCCATGCCACTTGTAGCGGGAGCCTCCTACCGGGACGACATCCACCAGCAGTAGGTATTTAGCTTCAGAATCCAAGCCTGTGACTGCAACTTTTAGCTGTGGAAACATCTGCCTGAAAAGTGATTAAAACATGGATTAGAAAAATTCAAATTGTGGATGAATGGGGCTGTGACACAGAAGAAGAAAATAGGATTCGTCTCAACTCAAGGTTGGAGGTAGCCAATTCTAATCACACCGTCCCCCCTGCTATAGCTGAGTTCTAGAAAGCTAATAGCCCAGGATGAGTGGACAGGGTCCAAATCATATTATTTGGCTCCATTTATTAAGACAGACAGACAGCCCTTGAAAGGTCAACTCTGCCTTGCTTGAAGTACAAGCAAGTAGTCCTTGACTTACAACCAAACTGGGATCATAATTTCGGTTGCTAAGCAAAGCAGTTGTTAAGTGAGCTGCGCCCAATTTTATGACCTATTTTTTTGCCAAGTTGTTAAGCAGTTGTTAAGTGAATCACACTGTCGTTAAGCAAATCTGGTTTCCCCCACTGATGTTGTTTGTGGGAAGCCAGCTGTGAAGGCTGTGAATGGCATTGACACTGGGATGCTGCAATGGTTGGAAATATACGGATTTTGATCACGTGACCCTGGGGATGCTGCAAAAGAAAGTGCGAGGACCGGTTGAAAGAAACATTTTTCAGTGCCATTATAACTTTGAAGGATTGCTAAATGAATGGTTTTAAGCTGAGGACTAACTGTAGTGGAAGAATGTTAGTATCTTGTGCATGACAAATGGCTTTTGATTATTCCTTGGAAAGCTGAAAACATACAAAACACTCTCACTTAATTCCTAGAGCAGTAACTATTCTTTCCCAGTTTTCTGGGATGCAGTCTTTCTAGTTCTTTTCTCCCTTCACCCATCTATATAGGTTTCATACAATTACTATAAATTCCCAACGTTGTTTGTCACCAGATCAGCTCATCTCTGGTTTGCAGTGACTTAAAATGGTCCAACAGCTGGAGACCCAATGTTAGGAAACATTTTTTACACTATGAATTAAAGACAAAAGGGGATTTTCATGGTACTCATTTCAGTTAACCCTTTATTCTCTGGTACCCAGAAGGTACAGCTGTTTCTCAAAATATTGCTTTTATTATAATAACTCAGCAAAAATTAATAGAATAGAATAGAATAGAATAGAATAGAATAGAATAGAATAGAATAGAATAGAATAGAGCTGGAAGGGACCTTGGAGGTCTTCTAGTCCAGCCCCCTGCTTGAGCAGGAGAACCTATACCATTTCAGAAAAGTGACTGTCTAGTCTTTTCTTGAAAATCTCCAGTGATGGAGTGCCCACGATTTCTGGGGGTAAGCTGTTCCACTGGTTGATTGTCCTCACTGTTAGGAAGTGTCTCCTTAATTCCAGGTTGCTTCTCTCTTTGGTCAGTTAATTAAATAGGAACAGAGAAAAGATTTGTTTCTCTTAATGTCTTGAGAGCCTTCCTAAATCAAAGTAGCAGTCTAATCAAGTAAATTATTTTCCATCAGCATCCTAAACAGAACTTACAAAATGAGCATGATGCAGGTATACTGCCTTTGAACATGAGGCTTCATTTAAAATATTAGAAGTGGAGAATTAGAAGGGACCATTCAGGCATCTAAGTCTAGCTCTCTGTTCAGTAACAGAGAGGGTAGCTTTAGATTGCTTATCCTTGGTGAACTTGTCAAATCCCATTTGCAAGCTATTTAAACTATAATTCATCAATATGTGTTATGGCCATAGATCCCTAAACTAGTGGATTCTATAAACAATTTTCCTACTCTTTTTGCATTATGGTCTTCCTCCCTGCCAGCTCCATGAGACAGAAAAAAAATGCCCATTGAACATATGCAAAGCTAGTATGTTAAAAATAATTTTGGTTGCAGTCATAACCCTCTGTACATATATATACAAACAAGAGCCACTGGACTTCATAGGGCTTACTTCAGAGTAGGGAAGGATAAGATTACGGTGTCAGTCTATTGGGGAGATGTTTTAATTTTAGGACAGAAGAAAAGTCATCTGAAGGTCTGATTTACATGATCCAAGATTGATCCATGCCTCTGCAAGGAGAGAGAGCTGATGGACTAGCAGCTCACCTGCCTGCTTTGGTGATGATCATCTCAGTGCCAATGCCGTTGAACCGCTTCCAGAGCTCGCTGTTCTCCAGGCTCATCCGTACTCCAGGGGGTAGCTGTGAAGTTGTTGGGGGGCCTGATGGGAGTGCCTGAGATGATCCATAAGGGAGGTCAGGGGTTGGGGGCAGGAGGCGCCCAGGAGGGTCCAAACCTGGGAAGAAGCCTTCCAATTTGGGAGCAGCTTCCAGCTCTGGTGACAAAAAAGAGGAGAAAAGAGAGCTGAGAGGAGGGATAAGAGAACTGAGGGGCATCGGCTGCTGAGCCATGTGGAGTTAAGGGTAAGGAGGGGCCTGCAGGCATTACTGAGGGGCATCGTCAAGGAATTTGTCACTCTCCTGCTGGTTTCCGCCCGTTTTCTTCTCTTCCCCCCCCTCTCCACCTCTTCCCTGACCAGTTGGTCTTGGGTGCTAAATATCCAGCTGATGGGGGTGGTGGGCAAGAGCCAACAATTTATGGGAATTCTCTATCTCTCAGCTCCCTTTCTGCTCTCCCCAGCCCTGACCTACCACTGGCCTGTCTAAATCACAAGCTGCTTCCCCTTCATCTGAGGACCATTCTCATCCTCGGGGTGCCTAGTGGACTTCCCTTCCTTTTTTTTTTAATGTAGGTCCCACTTTTCCCACATATATAATAGCCTCACCTTCTAATCCTCATTGTCTGATTCCAGCTCACCCATTCTGGACTGATTTTATTTATTTATGAAATTTATTTGCCACCCATGTCATACCCAGTGACTCTGGGCGGCTTTACAACATAAACATTTTTGGTCCACTATTCCACTCTAATATAGTTACATCCTGGAATCAGCTTGCTTAACCCTCTTATCTTAAACATCCTGGCTACCACCTTCTCTCACGAAGTGTCCCCAAAACATTGCTGGTTTTATTTTAGTTTCTTATACAAGAAGAAAGTTTCTCCATGCCAGATGTCTACTTCTTTAACCTCCTCTGAATCTTCAGAGATGCTTAATTCCCATCTTCTTCCTTAAATGTCTGTCATGGTCCCACCATATCCATCTCAAGAGGCACTCCCAGGAAGGCACAGATGCTTTTTCTTCTACCCCGCTCCCTTTCACACAACAACCCTGTGAGGTAGATAGACTGAATAATGGTGCCTGGCTCTGGATCAGGCCACCATGGAGCGTAATGGCTAAATGAAGACGTTCTTGAGCCCACAATCCTCACCAGCATTTTTGGCTCCCTTCCATTCACGGCTTTACCATGACCCAGTTTTTCCTTCCCCCACCACTTTGCCACATCATCTCCCAATTTCTCACCTGAGTATCTGAAGGCTTCATATTGGGGTGCCTGACTCTGGGGATAGGCAGCTCCAGGAGGGGGTGGTGGTCGCAGAGCATAGGAGCTCCCATATTGGGGAAACATCTCTGATGGGTGATACATGAGGGATGGGCAGAAGCCTGGAGGGCAGGACTGGCTTCTCTGGGAAGGGAGTGGGGGTCCTGTGGATGGGAACAGGTGAGGCTGGAAGCCAGAGCTCCTGCCTTGAGGGTGGGGGTAGAGGAGAAGGCCTAGAGGCTGGAAAGTTGGTTTGGGGAGCAAAGTTGGATGTGATTTGGGGAGAGAAGGAAGGGAGGGAGGGAGGGCTCAGAGGCAGAAAGGTAGGAGCTGTTTAAGGAGCTGGGAGCCAGATCTCCTTGGCTTGGTCTCTTGAAGCAAGTCTGGGATGTGTCCCCCTCCAAATCCTCTCTTTCCCTGAAGCGCCCCTGGTTGGGGGCTTGTATTTAGGATTCCGCCAAGGCTCTTTGAAGTGAGACCCCAAATGGCACATTCACACCTCAGGAGGGGAGGGGTTTGGGGCTGGTAGCAGGGGAGCTGCAGGAAAGAAGTAGCAGACGTAGGCTCAGCTTTGGGATGTCCCATCTTTACACACCTTCCAGCTATTTCTGTCAGGATCCCTCTACTTCCCAAGGTCCGTTTTCTCCTTCTGCCTCCCCCGTTATGTCAGCCCTCTGCCCTCTTTTGGGAAGTTGTTTCTAGGCTCAGCTGCCCCCCCCCCCAGTCTCTGCCTGCTCCTCCTTCAGAACTACAGCTGCCCAGCCATATCTTCTCCCACTTAAGTCCAGCTTCCCAACTCCAGCTCAGACTTCATTAAGTGTGGTAGCTGAATCTCTTTCTGCGCCCACCCCTTGAATCCTCCTAATTGCCTAATTAACACCCTGACTCCAAAGTTTCCTGATTGATCCTGACCTATGGGATCCTTGGTTTACAAGTGAGTGAAGGGAGGGGGAGTTGCCAGAGTAATTTATCATCCAGATGTTTTCACAGCTGGGCAGGACAGCTGCAAAAGACTGCCAGATCCTGGGAGAGGCAAGTGAGATCTTCTCAGCTATAGGTACGGTGACAGGACCATACTTCAGATTCTTGAAGGGTCATTTGATGACAGTTTTTTGAAATGTAGTTCTAATGGGTCATGAGAATTGCTGTCGAGGGAGTTATGTTAGAGGGAACTACAAAATGTTATTTTCTGCCAAGGATCTTCTGTTGAGAATAAACCTCCAGAATCCACACCCAGATTAAAATAGGCTGGCTTAAATTTCTATGTTGCAGGAAAACAACAGAAGCTTCTAGTATTTTAAGACTAATATGCTTATTACATTATGTGTGTGCTTTTCCTGGTACATATAAAGAAGGAAGGGAGATAATTAAAGGGGAGATCAGAGACATATGAAATATAAGAGGTGAAGACAGTAATAATAAGCTGAAAGTTATGGCAGGACCCAGGTGGCCTTCACTGATCTCAAAAATGAAGCAGAATTGAAGCTGGTTAGAGTAGGATGGACTGTGAAGCTGAAAAAAATAAAGGCAGTGGCAAATCACTTATCATTGCCACAAAAATTCAGTGATATTTATTTATTTATTTATTTAATTGGCTGCCCATCTCGTTTACAGAGACTTTTGGCAGCTATGTTTCCAGAGGTTTGACTGAAAAGACACATTACCTTTAATGGTTGTGCACAAAAATGGGGTTTAGGTGTGAGACAGAAAGTTTTGCATTAGTGACATGATCAACACACATCATCTGATCAAAACCTTAGTTCGTTGGAACCACAAAAATGTTGCCAGATCGTCCTGTTTTAAAAAATGGTGCCTGAACACTGCAGAGTCAGTGAGAATAGTAGATGGTTGCCATGAGATCAGAGACAGAGCAATCTGGGGAAGGAGCGGGGGGGGGGGCTCCACTGTTTTTTTGTGGGGGAGACATACTTAATTCTCATATTAGATCTGTGCCCATTTATTATTGCATTGTCACTATTATGCATTGACTTGTCACCTAATCTTTCTGGAAGGCAGTGGGGCATTTCTGATGGAAGATTGTTTTGGAAAAGGGGCTAGTAAGCCCTTAGGTAAACCTCCTAGACAGCATATTAAAAAGCAGAGACGTCATCTTGCTGACAAAAGCTATGGTTTTCCCAGTAGTAATGTATGACTGTGAGAACTGGACCATAAGGAAGGCTGAGCACCCAAGAATTGATGCTTTTGAATTGTGGTCCTGAAGAAGATTCTTGACAGTCCCTTGGACTATAAGGAGATCAAATCAGTCAATCCTAAGGAATTTCCCCCCTGACTGCTCTTTGGAAGGACAGACACTGGAGCTGAAGGCTTCTGCCACCTAATAAGAAAAGAGAAGACTCACTGGAAGAGACCCTGATGTTGGGAACGATTGAAGGCAAAAGGAGAAAGGGATGGAGGAAGATGAGATGGTTGGATAGTGTCATTGATGCAATTAACGTAAAATTGGGTAAACTCCTGGAGACAGTGGAGGACAGGTGGGCCTGGTGTGCCATGGCCCGTAGGATCATGAAGAGTCAGACATGACTTAGTGAATTAACAACAACAAAGCCCTTAGGTGACATTATTAGGACTTGCAAGACAGTAGTGTTGTCAAAACAAATATAGGGGCACATATGGGTCTGCTGTTGAGTTGGCTCCTGTGTCGGCCCCATTAAAACACTTTGATTAACCTTTTAATCTGATTGGCTCTTTGTAATATCATTAAGAGAGCCAGTTTCGTGTAATGGTTAAGGTTCCATCTTAGAAACCAGGAGGCTGTGAGTACTAATTCCACTTTAGTCCTAAAAGCCAATTAAATGACATTGGGTCAATCACCAGAACTGTGAGTTCTAATCCCGTTTTAGGCATGAAAACTGGCTGGTTGACTCTCTCTCAGCCCAACCCAATTTACAAGGTTGTTGTTGTGGGGAAAAATAGGAGGAAGAAGAATTAGGTATGTTCACCTCCTTTTTTTTTTACTTATAATTACTTTATAATTACTTATAAAGTGATAAAGGTGCAATTAAAAAAAATCTAATAAATAAATCAAGACTTGTGGAAATGAACTGTTACTTTACAAAATGAGCTATAAAACATTGTTTCCTTAGAGCACGGGTGTCAAACTCGTCACGTCATGTGATGTGTCCGGACATATCGTGACTTTTTTTGCATTGCCGGAGCTGGGGTGGGTGCGGCCTCCGTATGATGCAACCGGCAGTTTGACACCCCTGCCTTAGAGGAACTGTAGCTAACAATGAAGCAATGTTCTTCTAGTCCTCTCCAAAAGTGAACTATTCTTAGGTATCAATCTGTTCTTCTTTATCTGGTGTTTTTCCTCCCACAGTATTGTAGTTTGAGAAAGTTCTGACTTAGATCCCTTCATCTGAGTGGTTATGATTAAGGGCTTTGCAGTAAACAATGGATTTTGCCATGTGTTCTGGTTGAAAGCATGCAAGAAGCATACAAATGTCCTCTGTAATAAGATAAGATAAGATAAGATAAGATAACCTTTATTGTCATTTTTATACTGTGGGCACAATGGCACACATCAAAAATGAAATTTAGTTGCCCGCTCTCAAAGTGAAACATATACATGACACACACCTAAACATACTATGAACAACATATGTATAGACCCACATCCCTACATATACGTAGCAAATAAATATTAAATATTGTCCATCTTGAAT